GTCACACTTCTTCTTCCATCACCCCAAGATCGTCCCTGGACTCCTCCCCCAGGGCACATGTGTTTGCTCGAGTCCTACTTCTACGAGGGGAAGCTGTGGTTTCCTCTCCCGAGGGTCCTAGTCGAGTATTGTGCTCGGCGTAGGATCGCCATATCGCAGTTGTCAATCGCCGTGATCCGCAACTTGGTGGGGGTGCTGGTCCTGGCGGCCGAGGTTAACCGAAGGGTGTGCTGCGACACTCTAGAAGAACTGACGAAGTTCAACAGGTTCGGGCCGGTTTTACCTTAGTTTAAGCGGCCGATTTTACCTTAGTTTAAGGAACGTCCTCCTGGCATGCTCCCCTGGGAACAAGACTGCGAACTGGGAAGCTCGATACTTCTATGTGAAGATTGATCGAGCTTCAGTCGGAAACCCGGATTGGGAAATACGATCTGGGTGGAACGTTGACGTCGGTAAGAATCTTGTCTTTGCGTTTACCTTTTGAATTGTTCGACTAGCATCTAACTCGCCCATGTTTATCCTATAGATCGCCCCCTTCCACTTCGCGCTTTTCCTCCCGGCTTCCCCCAATTGAGGGATAGGCTGCCCCTGTTTTAGTATCAGTGGTGGCCCGAGCAATTTCCGAAGGCGTGGATTTAGCGAGCCCGTGCCCGCATCCTGTCGGGTAACTTTCGCGGCCTTCTTCCTCGTTCTGGGTATTAGTTAAACCGGGTTACTGACCAAGCTTTTGGTGTGTTTGTAGGTCGGTACGATCTTCCTCTCGAACCGGCGCTTACTCCCTTTCCTCCCCGCGCGGCTCGAGCAGAGAAGACTGCTAGAAAGGCGAAGAGACCGACGGGGGGTGATGAGGAGGAAGAGAGAAAGAAGAAGAAGGCCAAGGTTGTGGTCGACACGCCGCCGGTTAAGCACCGCAGAGGAAAGGGGCTGATGTCCGCAAGTGCAGACCCGAATACCAAACTGCTTAATTACTGCGACCGAATGGCGCAGCAGCTAGAAGTCTTC